CTCTCTCTCTCTCTCTCTCTCTGGCTCGCCTGTCACGCTCTGCTCGCCGGCTCATCTGACCTCTGGCTGTGTGTACCATACCCACCCATCCACGTTCCTCGCCCCACACTCGATCCCTCCCCTCCTCCTTTGCCTCCCCATCCACCATCCGACACACCTGCTCGCCGCCTGTTAGCTCTGCAACACCATCACCATCCATCCACACGCCAGCACAGCATCGCACACGCACAAATTCGAATCGCTCTGACCACGGATCACGAGCGTCCCTCTCGACTACCACACGCGACCGACATCCCGTCCGACCAAGCGCGACCTCGAACCAGCTCGCCGAGCTTAGCACCAATCCACCACACTCAGCCTGCCGCCTAGGAATGGCGTATCGCATCTTGTAATATGCACCGCGGTGCACCTGCTCCCGACTCTTGCTCCTACACTCCCGCCAATCTTGCCAAGCCCGTCGTGGCGACTCCGCACCATTGGAGCACCATGCCGTCGGCACTCCCAGATCCAGTCCTGGCCTTGTCCATGGACAACGTGCTCAAACTCAACGACCTCAACCTCGACCAGCTCGCCAACCTCTGGAATGGTGAGCCAACCCTCCTGGTTCGCTGGCTTTGTGCCCCGCGAGCCTCTCCCTGACTCTTTGACCATCATTGGCTTCCATACAGTATTCACAAAGTGCAAGGAATCCCTGGAATCGGGTCGTCGTCTCGAAAACCTCTCGTGGCGGCTCTGGTTCCGCGAGGCTCACATCCTCCCGCCCGACACCTCGCTCTCGGACCTCACCGACTTTACGCCGCTCGACACTCCTCTCATCAGCCGTGCCAACAGCATCGCAGGCAGCTACAGGCCCACTCCTCTCCAGCCTGCAGCAGCAGCTGCTCGCGCCGGCAGTGCGCTCTCCGATCCCGAGGACGGCAATGACTCCGACTATTCCACCGATAGCGAGGTGGACGGTGGCCACGACCAAGCGGTCGCTGGTCCATCCGCACCTGCGTCCACTCCCGTCAAGAGGCGTGTCAAGCCGAACCACAGCCGACCCTCAACTCCATCCACCTCGAGCGCGGCGACAACCACAGCACCACGATCTGCCGCCATGGCTTCCTCTGCCGCCCAGTCGCAGCGTCTCGCTGAGACGGTGGCAGAGCGCACCAGTCGCGCTTTGAACAGCGTCTCGCGCCGCACCAACATGGCCGACATCGACGCAGACGCCCTGAGGCGCAAGCGTGGCATCTCGTCCTCTTCTGCCTTCGGAAGCAAGGCGCGCGTCAAGCAGCGCAATCAGGATGGCGCTCAGCGAAGACGTCCGCTCAGCTTCCAGGCGGCGCTCGAAAATCTCGTGCTGACCAGCCGCGCCGACAACTTTGCCTCGCTGCGTGGCAAGCAGGGCAGCATGCCTCAGCTCGACATCCACATGGGTGCCAGCACGGGCACCCTCGATGCGCCCCGCAGCCGCTACGACGCCGACACCGACGACGCCGCACGCAACAGCGCGCCCGCCGAGCTCAGCCCCATCCAGAGCTCCCACATCTCGCAAGTAGCGCTGGCTTCCCAGCTGCGTGATGCGCTCGAGCCTTCCGCCACGACGGTGCCTGTCTCGCCCAAGTCCAACGTGGACAAGTCGCGCGACGACGAACACTGCGACGCACCCGAGACCCGCGGTCCGCTCTCGCCCACCAAGATGACCGTTGCTCTGGCGCCGACGGTCGGTGCCATCTCGAGGCGTGGATCGCAGACGCTTCTGTCCGATGCCGCCTCTGCCGACAGCAAGAGCGCAGCGGCTTTGTCCGAGTCGCAAGCCATGCCTCCGCCGCAGGGCCTGCCCACGCCCACGCCTGCTGCGTCTGCCATCAAGGCGCAGACCGGCAGCGAGGCTCACGCCACCGCCGAAGCAGCATCGGAAGACAGCCACGTAGAGCAGCCCGGATCCACGGGGATGACTCGATCCGAATCCGCCTCCAGCGCATCCACGCAGGCCTCGCACCGATCGGCAGCGCACGCCGCGGCAGGACGTCGTCCGAGCGATGTGAGAATCCGAGCCAAGGCGGGTGCTGGTCTGCACGCCGGGCACCGCTCCAAGTCTGCGACGGGTCTGCACCGCGGCGCCAAGCACAGCAAGAGCTCGGACAAGCTCGGCGGTGCTCCGGCCCGCGCTGCGCCGCGCCACAACTTGCTCTCGGGTCTCGCCATGACGCGCGCTGCTCCCGAGCCGGCTGCCGCCCACGCTGTGGCACGCAAGCCGGTGCCTGCGGAAGCTGCTGCTGCCAGAGCCACCTCGTCGGCCGCCGCCAAGAAGGCACCGGTCAAGTTCACCATGGGTGGCGACGAGACCGACTCGGAAGAGTACGAAGACGAGAGCGACGACGCCGACGCCGTCCAGCCGGTCGCCGAGCCACCGGCATCGAGCAAGCCTGCTGCTCCCGTTCAAACGAGCAAGGATGCCGACGAGATCGTCGAGATCGAAGGCGAGGGCGACGACGACGGCTGGTCCAGCGACAGCGAAGCTGAAGAGCAGGAGCGCCGCGCTCGCCAAAAGGCCGAGGCCGAGCGCCGAAGACGCGAAGAAGAGGAGCGCCACCGAAGCATGTTCCAGAAGCAGCCGATCCGCTCCAAGTCGGCCGCCGACGTGCGCCTGCTTGCCCCGCACCAGGTCAGCGCCGGCCCTAGCCCGCCCAATCAGCCGGTGCGCGGTCTGCTCACCTCGCTCTTCCACCCGGACGAGCAGCACTCGCCTCCCGGCCAGCTTGCTGGCCGACCGCACGCCTCGGCGGCGGATCTGAGGACTCGACCTGCCCTGGCGTCGCGCAAGAGCGGCAGCGAGGCCGGCCGATCTCCACCTGCGGTGCGCCGCCGTGCACACCGGGATAGCAGCGACAGCACGACGCAGGCACCGCGATCGTTACGCGATGCTGGCTTGGCCGGTCTGACAGGACTCAAGACGAGCAAGAGCGCCGTTGCGCTGCCGCTGCTCGACACGCACGCCACGCGATCCTCCACGGCGGGCAAGGCGAAGAACGAGCATGCGGCCAACGGCGGCAGCAGCCACCAGTCGGACGGCAGCGCCAGCAGCCCGGACTCGCCCGTCGCGGCATCGTCCTTCAGCCGTCCGGGCAGCATCGCGCTCGCTCGCCTGCACGCGCTGACCAACATGAAGGCGCACTCGAAGCGCGATGCATCGTCCAGCGGCGCCGATAGCAGCG